GCGCACAAATACACACACACTCACGCTCACACACACACACACGCACACACACACACACACACACACACAACAATTTTGCGTGTACACACTTGGACACACACAGAGAAGTATCAAGTCACACATGCACGCTCAAAGACACAAAACAAACAAAACAACAAAGAAACACAAACACAATAATTATTGTCCGGAGCTATGAATGTCAGAAGATGTCAAATCTTACTTTATGATGTAGAAAAATACACGACAGAAATCAGAGATAAAGGACGAACAAACAACTTGAATTTAAACCTGCATAGTAATTACATTTCTCATTCATTGCCCTCTTTTAACAAAGGAAAAAAATGTAATTTATAACCAAAAATAAAAGTGTAACCAAACAAGTGTTCGTTTGTGGGTGCACGCATGGGTACCCCCAGAAAAACTGTCTTGTGTTTTGTCAAGCCGGTTTCATTAACGACTTAAAGATGCCTGAGGGCATGACTGCGTCCTCCCAAACGCCAGTGGTCAGTCCAGGTAAAAAAAAAAAACAACGATTACGTCAAGTTTAACAAGGACAAACTTCTCAAAAACTCTCCTCCTTTATCTACAATCAGACGAGGGCTCGCAGTTTTGTCACGTGGGGATTTTCTTTGTCGAACCCCGAATGGTATTAAATTTGAGTTCGGCGACGACCCATTTCAATTTGCCTTTTCTTCGTCTACGAGAGAGCACTGCTTAAAACCCAGTGGTTGCAACAAATTGTCAACTGTGTTTTGTGACTTCAAGTACATATGTTTCTATATTTCTCGGAGTATTATCGTTGTGCTCACAAAGTGACTAAGTAACCATTCATGGATTCCCCCGTGCACGTGGTGAACACTTAAGAAGTGTAGATTTGTTTTGGTTGGCGATCAAGCATTTTCTGTTTTTACTTTTTGGACTTGTGAAGAAAATTAGTTTCTTGACTGTGTTACACTAGGCCCTTAATAGGAATTTTTATCAAGCAGTGGTGCATAATGGGCATATAGATATTTGTGGCTTTCGTATTTATTTTATTTTTATTCAACCTGATACGTTTTATTGTTGGTGCCTATAGCTTCAGTATGTCAGTTACGTTCAGTCTTCGTCCACCAGAGTATGAGACTCATTCGGTGAATGTATCAAGGGCGCTTGGTGTTATTGAAGACCGTGTTTTAGAGAACGGTAGCTCTTCGCAGGTTGTTCTAGCGACAGATATGAACAATCAGGACAAGAAAATAGCTCTGAAAAAGCTGCTTCTTGTCGAGGATATGGCAGCCAAGGATAAAGAATTGAAATGGGCATGTTTCCTCAACGAGATCGAAATCGCACAAGACCTCCATCATCCAAACATCGTCCGTCTAGAGAAAGCGGTCTGCTGTCCAGAGGCACTGGTCATCGTAATGAAGGTATATCCCGTTGATCTTTTCGACGCTCTTCCCCATATCAAGGACGCTGATGTGCCTCGATATTTCCGCCAGATCACAGGAGCTATGCACTATCTTCACCAACGTCGAATAGTGCACGGAGACTTGAAACTGGAGAACGTTTTGTTAAGTTCAAGCAGAGAGGCCGTATTGTGCGACTTTGGTCTCTCACAGTCAATTCCAGAGCACACAACAAGCTCACCTCAGTGGGGAGGCACTTCGCCCTATTGGGGACCTGAATACGTCAGAGGGGCCGCCGTTGGTGACGTCTACAAACTGGAGAGTTTCGCTTTAGGCGTTCTTCTGGTTGCACTGCTGCTCCGCATAGATCCCGAGCCAGACACAGACTACCTGCGGCTGCTGAAAGAAGCAGAATCAGTTCCTCAGCCGTACAGAGAGTATGCAGAACGTCTCCTCCATCCTTCACCGCCAGAACGAGCCTCGGTTACACAAATCCATGAACTCCTGTGTTCCCAAGATTCTCAAGAATAAACAAAACGTATCCGCCATGACATCCCGTCCCTTCTCCTGCCCTTGTGCCGTCCACGTACCCCAAACAAAACAACAACAAAAACAACGCCCCCCCCCCCTTGCCCCGAAAACAAAACAAAACAACACAATCAAACAAACATCGTATGGCCATCATGGCATCGTTATTCCGACAACACTACGAAGTATACACACTTTAAAAAATGTGGTGGTGGGTGATTGACGGGTGCTCTGGTGTGGTTTGCTTCTTCTTTCCTATCAAATATCTATCATCTTTATCAACCCTCCTTTTTGTGTGTGTTACTCTTTTGTAGCACTTTCTATTCTTCGGCATTTATATGACCTTACTGTGTTGCAAGTGCCGTAAAACTCTTACTAAAACTAAAAACATAAAATGTGGTGGTAGTTTTGTTCCCGACAATGAGGAAGGGCAGAGCTCAAATCTCAACAGTGGTTGGTTGGTGGGTGCTCTGGTGTGGTTTGCTGTTTCTTTCCTATCAAACATCTATCGTCCTTATCTCCCCTTCTTCTTTTTTATGTTTGTTAATCTCTTGTATGTAACACCTCAAAATCTTCTGGGGCTCATTTGACCTTATGCAGTTGCAAGCGAAATAAAACCTCTACTAAAACTAAACTAAAAGATTTCAACACTGCACGTCGAAGATGCATTGTGGTGGGTCAGGGTTATTTCAGTAACATTTGGCAACAGTGATTCATTGTCATATCAGGCTCAGACATAGCTGAAACCGAGATATGCCTACCTGTCAAGGTCTTTCTTACTACCCCAACACACACACACAAAATTTCCCAACAACAAATCCTGTTTTCTTTTTCTCTTAATTGTTGTACTAGGTCGCCTGTGTGTCCTTCTCTCTCTCTTTATCTCTCTCTCTTTCTCTCTTTCTCTCTCACTCACTCTCTCTCTCTCTCTCTCTCTCTCTCTCTCTCTCTGTCTTTCTGTCTGTCTCTCTCTGTTTATCTGTCTGTATCTTTCTGTCTCTGTCTGTTTCTGTCTCTGTCTGTCTGTCTTTGTGTGTCTATCTCTCATCTCTTTCTCTTTCTCTCTCTCTCTCTGTCACACACTCTGTCTGTCTGTCTGTCTGTGTGTGTGTGTGTCTGTCTGTCTGTCTGTCTGTCTGTCTGTCTGTCTGTCTGTCTGTCTGTCTGTCAGTCTGTCCTCCCCCGCCCACCCCACCCGTTCGATTGATTTTCCCTTGTAGTCAGTTATCAAAAGGTGTCAAACACATGCGGGTGACAGGCGCCCCGGGTGGAATAAACTTTGTGAACATGGAGGAAGTCGGTTGGCACTCTGGTGGAAACGTTACTTTGTCCCTGGTATAAGCATTTATTTGAGCTTGTGGCGATTTTTATCATTTATAATACTATATTATAATAATTGTCATATTAATAATGGGAATTGTGATAGCAGCTACGTAGCATCAGCTTCAGTAGTAGTAGTAGTAGTTGTATAGTGGTAGTGGCGGTGGCTGTGGTGGCGGCAAAATAATGATGATAAAGATGATAATAATTATGATATTAGTTGTATTTTTATCTTAATAATTCTACTTTATTTATAATAACTATAGTATCATCATCATCATCATCATCATCATCATCATCATCATCATCATTGCCTTTCTCACCCTGGAACAGGATATAGGCCACGAACAAACACTTTCCACCTTTCCCTATTCTAGGCTAGTCGCTTGATGCTACTGCATGTCTCCCCACTTTTCGTACGTCCATTTCCGTTACTCTTCTCCAGGTTTCACGTGGTCTCCCCCTTGATCTTTTACCCTTCTCTAGGGTTCCAATCTAACACTTTCCTTGTTATACTGCTGCTTGACTTCCTTCGCCAACGCCTTCTTGCCACTTCATCTCTGACTGGGCTCCGTCTCGTTCTTCTTAATACTTCCTCGTTGGTAACCCTGTATGTCCATCTGATCCTCAGTAACTTCCCAAGACACTTGTTCAAGAAAACCTGGATCTTCTTAAATGCACGTCGTCATCATCATAATCATACTAAACTACTACTTCTTGTCATCGCAAATATAACTACTAATTTGTTATGGGGGCTCTTCCCAGGTTTGGCCGCAGGTCATTTCATTCACAAAACCCAACATCCCTTAAAGACCTCTGTCCAGATCCTCCCTCGCCCTCCCTCCCTAACTTAACTCACTCTCACTTTGTCTGTCTGTCTGTCTGTCTGTCTGTCTGTCTGTCTGTCTGTCTGTCTGTCTGTCTGTCTGTCTGTCTGTCTCA